GGAAAAAGAGAGGGTCAGTCCTGGGTTCCTGTGGAGATCTCAGTTGGGGTGGCCTGGGAAAGCTGAGTTGGGGGTGGGGAGAGCTGTGTCAGGACAGGAGAGTGCTGCTGGTCATCTCCATTCTGAATGTTTGATGGACTGCCTGATCTAGTCTGCCCGAAGTTCACCATCATGTACCAAGCTGTCATTATTAGCCTCTCCCAGTGCTCAAGTCTCATAAAGCATCCAGGAGACGCATCCATCCCTGCCACAAAAGGCACTGAAGGAAGCAAATCCTTAATGAACATACATCTAACCAGGCAGCCACATTCACTGGCCAGTGTGAGGGTAAGGTTCCTCAAGTTCTCCCTGCCACAGAGCTCAGATAATGCTGATAGCCCCTCTCCCGCTAAGATGTGAAGTGTTGGCCTGGGGTGGTGGAGGGGGCCATTCAGGAGGAAATGTTTAGCGTCTGAATCGGTTACCTATGGTCTCCAATCCACAGAAAGAAAAGTAAACAAAAGCAGGTGTTATACCTGAAATAGGCTTTCTATCATTTAGGTCAGTGTGACCGTCAGTCTGCCTGTCCGTCCGTCCGTCCGTCCATCCATCCATCCATCCATCCATCCACCCACCATCAAAAGTGTTTTTCCTCACTGTGCCAGGCACTGAGGCTACAGAAAGGATTCAGTCCCAAGATTTGCCATGCAAGAGTTCACTCCACAGTCCCACTGTTAACTGCACTCTGGTCTAATTTGTTTATTGGTGTGAGAAAAACACGCAAGGAAAACGATATTCATTTTATTGCATCATTTACTGACTAGAACGCCAGACTTAAAGTAGGAATAAGTATAAAAATAACCAAATTCTTACAAATAATACTTTGCTGCTACAGTACTGAATAATTAGTGGAGGTTGCAATTATAATACAACTTTAAATAACATTCTCATAATGGTTTTAACACAATCAACCAGGGGCTAAGGTTTAAAGGTTTGCAAAAAGAAATTCAGGACAATGTGAAAACTCCGGAAGTTCATATTCCAGCTACATGCTTCGTTTAACCATAAATCCAGCAACACAAACAGTAACAAAACTCACAGCAACCTGTGATGAAAAACTTTTTTTTTAAAAAGAAACAGGCCAAGGGAATACAGAAATCTGTGTTCATTTCCCAGGTGGACCTGGCTCCATTCCACCTCTGTCCGGTCCCATCCTTCCTCCACAAGAACTCTGTGCCTGCACTGCATGTCTTATATAAATATTTATGAACCAGAATTGAATATGCAAATCATTTGAAAGCCTCTTAAAAAATGCAGAGGGGACAAAACTGGTCTAAGATCTGTCTCTTCGTAAACCTAAATTGCCCCCTTTGGCTTCACAGGCTTCTCTGTGAGCTTGTGAAGCCAACGAGGATGGATTAGAACACTACTGAAAAGATATCTCAGCACAACAAATTCACTGACATTTAATACTTTGATGTTTCTAGTATTTTAACCAGTTTCCTTCTCTGGGGACTTCAGAAGAGAAAAAAAAGGAAAAAAAAAGAACACATACTCAAAAGACAACTCTACAAAACTGTATCTCTGTTTCCAAAAATGCACATGAGAACCTCAGAATGATGCTTTGTCAAGAAGGAGGAAAGGACATGTCCCTTCTGATCCCCACAGAAGTCTTCACATAGAAAAATATCTCTGATATTAAGGGCAGTTTTAAAGAAGATGGGAAATACTGAAACACTGAGCTTTGTATTCTTCCTGTCTCCAAAGAAGTGCTCTTGAAATCAGTGTCACTATCTTAGATCTATGGGTCTCAACCCGACTGTGGGCCATGCTGGGCTGACCTAAGCCAGGAGCAACTAGAATGCTCAGGTTTAGTTTCTTCAGGCAAAGTTCCCAGAGTTACTGGGCATCTGGGCACTTTGCCAGCAGGCAAGATGGCTTCACGGAGGCCCCACAAAGCCACGTGTGAGGGATGGCCCTAGTGTGCCTGCTCTGGGGACTTTCACATCTGAATACATCTCATCCTCCAAAAATATCTTCTGGGGCAGCCATCCAACCTTGTCTTGCCAAGACGCTGCCCTTCTGTTTGGGCCAACTTTTAAAGAATTACCTCTTCAAGCACTTAATACTCGCATCTCTGTTTATAATTTCAAATGCTATCAGCCCGCTTGATTACACTACCCATTCAACAATTTGGCTTTAAATGACTTAGCTGCTTCTGAAAATAAAATTTTGTCAAAGGAGGAAGATTTGTCAGCATTTAAGACATTCAACTGAATATGTTCCCGATTTCCGATAACGTTCACAAAATTATGCTTCTGGTGTACGGGTGCCACAGCCTTATCATAGGAACAAGGCCAAACAGTCCTCAGATGGACATCTAAGTCTGGCTGTTTGTCAAAAACCCGGGCCATCGCCTTCCCCTGCCTACACCTGAAGCCACACATCAGCAGGCTTCTTGCTAAGCACAGGGCAGCCACTATTTTCTTAAAGATGACCTCAAGTGTCCAAGAAATAAGTGCAATAACAAACCCAAAAGGACTTTTTCCAAAAGGATTCAACATTTTCTTTTTTGCATTTCATGTCATTAGTTTAGTTTATGCTTCATAATATTAAGGTGTTTTTTTTTTTTTAAAGCATATTTTAAGCCCGGTCTCTCACGCCCTCTTTGACATTTAAGGTACATTTAGATGGTGAGGCATTCACCATGATGACCAAGCAGGCAGAAGGGTTTGAATCATGGTTCTCTGAGGCAAGATATTTTTCCTCTCTGGAAGTTCACACGTGTGAGAAATGGACGCTCTTGTGCACACTTCATAAGCGTGGTGACTGAGGCTGGGGACCTTGCACAGAGCCCGGCCACGGTGGGAACACCAGAGATTCTGGCTGGGACAGGTAGACTTCGTAAGGCATCTCTAGTGTCCTGGGCTCGCTCATGGGGCAGACAGGAAAAGACGGGAGAAATAAGACCCCCTGGAGTTTAAACAAAACCCATAGTTGCCAGGAGGCTGGCAGGTGACCCCGGCCCTGCTCTGGGAATCCCGGCAGAGTGCTTCCACCTGCTACGGGATGCTTGATTTCCACTCGGCCAGCTCTCCCTTCAGGAGTTTAAGCCTCCAGAGAGCAGGTGAGTGTCACTTTTCCATTCCACCTTCCCCTAGCTGTGGGGCCCCAGTGAGGCAGGACCGTGGCATTTTCAGGGGGCACAAAGCACACATTCCAGATGTAGGGCCTCACACTGAGCACCTGTGCAGGATCTGAGACCTTCTGCTTGCCGGGGGGGGGGGGGGGCCCAGCCCTGTCCCCTCAGTCCAGTGACTGCTGCTGTCCTACTGGGGTTTTGCCCTCAGCCCCAGTAGGGTCCTTTAGGAGGCATTAACTCCAAGCAGGGGCAAAGCAAGCCTCTCCCTTCCTCACTCAGGTGGCAGCTGGCCCTGGATAACAGCCATGCTGTTTGCATACGTTCTTAAACCCTCACGCTTTTGAGATACACATTTACCAACCCTACAGCCTCCTAGAAATGAGATACATATGAACTTAACATTGTACGGGGCCTCTATTTTTCACAGTAAAAGAAAAACAATTTTCTTAATCCATTTTATGTGCACAAAACGTACTCACAGGAAAGCATTCTTGAAACTCACAGGACACTGTTTTCTCGACTTGGGGATTCTCCCCAAGAATGCTTTTGAGACAGAACACTTCATTTTGTGGAGCTTATAGCTTCTGGTCCTGACACAGGAGATGATTTGTCAGCTGTCATGTCATCCAACATCCTTGGCTGAGTTAAGCGTGGGAATAGCTCCCCGCCATGGCTCTGGGTCCCGGGGAGGAGCAAGGATCTACACCAAGAGCCGGGAAGCTAGGCTACCTGTGAGGGAGTGCAGGACCTCACGGGTGAGGGGAGTGCAGGACCTCCGAGCTAGATGTGAGACCAGGAGGCACACAGGGCTGTTTGCTTCCTCAGACAGACGCAAGGCCAAAGAATTCGGAGAGATGATGCTCTGAAATGTTAAGTTGGCATCCACCGACAAGAACGGACTCCTTTGCGTATCTCGGGAGATTAAGTGCAACTTAACGACTAAGAAGCATTACACCTGACTTGTGCTCCTGCTGGCAGGCTGCTGGTGGCTCGTGGAGACCATGGGACACGGGAGTTTACACTTAAAACTGTTAGGACGAGGGTTACCTAAGAATAAGGATTAGATACATTCTGAAAAGAGATCTCTGAAGAAACAACTACACCCAAGACTGAACTGTCCCCAAAGGCTACACCGCTTCCAGAAATGTGGGTGCCACGGAGCTCTGAGCTTCAGGGTGGGAACAATTCTTTCACCACTGTGTTTTCATCCCCAAACAGGAGCTTTTCAAAGCAGATGACGAGAACAATCGCGGTTCCCCAAGCAGCAGTTACAGACACTGAGCACGGGGTATGCCCCCTCCTCACAGGACCCATGCCGCAGGCATAATAAATAAGACATGTGGAATTTCCTTCCCAAAAGCAAACTCTCAACTCCTTAACTGGCCGTAAGTCTGTAGTTCTCCGATGCTGACTGAAATTATGTTTCTGGAGGGAACTATGCAGTAGTTAGTATAAAGAGGTACAAATTACTGCATGAGTGAAAATAAGTTATTTCTTCAGTGAATAAACAGCTTTGAGCAGGTTTGAAAGTTTGCACTGAGTCGGTGGACAAGATCCGGGATACGGAGAAGCCGCACTGGCAGGGAAACAGACTCAGGGACGAGTGGCTCTGTCCCAGCTCCCTAGTCTTCCTCAGGAATCCACATGGCTTCCCAAAGCACTGGGGTTTCGGGAAATTGAACATGCCCCGTCAGCCTACTCCTCTCACTGCATTCAGCTGCGGGGACTCCAAGCTGCTTTTCCGTCAATGGAAATTACCTCTCAGCCCCAAGCTGCATTCTGTTTCTACTGCACATACATAGTAGTTCAAAGGTTGGGGGCGGGGGGGCGAGGCACACAGGGATGAGGAGTGCTCCACCGCCTGCGGCTCTGTGAGTCCCCCACCAGGGCCCTGACCCAGCGCCTGGGCCCACTGCTGGGCCTCACCACAGGCAGCGGGGTGCCTCTACTGAAAACCACGTGGAACTTGTTTTGCCCCGATCCAGACTTACTTGGAAAAGTGGGATTTAATTGCAGAGGGAAAAAGTGATCCTAAATAAACGTGTCACCTTGACTAAAAAACAAAGTGGAGTGTGTGCCATACCTCATAAATTTTAGTCCCTCATTTTGAGGGTGGGCTTGGAAACTGCAGAAGACGCAGAAGCCTATGAACATTCTATACATTCCCCATAGCATCTCCAAACCTTAGTGATGTGTTCAGCTTCGTCATCTGTTGTTTAGCATGTAGATACTGGGCAAGAAAACAACGAAAGAGCCAGTACTCTGCCGTAAATTAATCACCACCCAGCTGAGGCCTGTGGAAGTGTCTAAGGAAGAGAGGCCTTCTTTCTGGAACAGCCTTGAAACAAATCCGAAAGGAGACCTCCCTCCCCAATTTACTAAAGTGCAAACTGAGAAGACTGGGTCCTGGTGAAGGTGCCTGACCATGTGCCCTGGCTAATAGTCAACCCTCGGCCGGTGGTGGCTGCTGAACTCAGAGACTCCTGGTACCGGCCCACATTCATGTTCACAGTAACAGCGAAGGTGCCTAAGGAGCAGCCCTCAGTTCCACGTCCCCGCATCCATCAGTCCCCTTCCGCTGTGGCCATGCCCCTCACGCCTGTCTTGCTTCCTGCTTGCCATTCACGTGTGGCTCCGCGAGTCCTGGGAGCAGCCAGTATTCGCGGGGCGCCCCTGGTACAGTCCTCCGACCGAGTAGCTGAGGTTCCACAAGATGCTCAGAGCAGTGGGCCCTCCCTCTCTCTTCCGCACTTAGAAATAGTCTCTTCTCCTGCTCTCATCACTGATGAAAGATGGGTTATACTGTCCAGGGAAGATGCATGAGTGCCGTGATCCCGGCAGTCCAGTGTAGGCCGGGTAGAGTCCATTTCGTTCAAGTTCAGGATTCCTTACACTTGTGGGCTGGTGGCCAGAAAGAAAAGAAGAAAAGTCAACTTATTGTTCGTGGATTTAAATTTAAAGTGTGTGTGTTTTTTTTTTTTTTTTTTTTTTTAAAGAATAGTGCTATGTTTTAACAAACCTAAGACGTAGGCAGCTAAACATAGCAGAGCAGGATCCCACCTAGAAGTCAGGACCTCCCCAGGCCCTCGCTTCATGAAACCTGGGATATTTTTGCCTCCATTTTATTCTTTCTTTTCTTTTTTTTTTAAGTGGACTCCACGTGGAGCCCCGTGCAGGGCTTGAACTCACGACCTGAGCTGAGCTCAAGACCTGAGCTGAGATCAGGAGTCGGACACTTAACTGACTGTACCACCCAGGTGCCCCTGCCTAGATTTTAAACGGAGGTTTAGAAAAGAAAAAAAAAAAGTATCAAGGGGAGTCCAGCGATTTTAGACCCACATAGCAAAAGACTTGAGCTAATTATCATCAATATTATTACCTAATTACTACCAGCTGTGTCTGTCTCTGTGGCGCACAATGGTTTTAAATCCTCCCTGGCATTTAGCAGGGCACTACCGTCTCTGCCATGAATGGAGAGTTGACTTTTGCAAGGTCATATGTCACCTGTCAAAGGTGGATTTAGGACCTCGGAGCAGGAGGCCAACGGGGATTCTCAGGTGTCTCTGACCAGATCCTAGCATGACTTACCTATCTGGTGTGCAGAAGAGGCCCCCAAGGAATGAAATGGCTACTTTGAGGAGGCCCTCACTGAGGACTACCAGGAGGAAATGCTTGTCTGGCAGAAATAAAACACGATACAGCTTACAACGAACGTGAATCCTAGGGGTGCCCAAAGTACACCTTAGAGCGCTGTGAGGACAGCCTTCCCAGGTGACAGCTTCATGCCATAAGCGTAGGCGCTGCTCCGACAGGCTGCTCAGTCTATTTCTGAAATGCAGATGCGGCTGGTCTAAGTTCTTGATGGCATCTATGTAAGGCAACTCTTGAGCTAACTCCATGGAAACGAAGAGGAGTCGGTCCTACGACACCGCGGCTTTGTTTGTCTCTGTGAGATCTCACCACGCTGGGGTGAAGAGTCCCTAGTAAAACGTGCAGGTGCGCGGGCACACTTGGGTCAGGCCTCTGGTTGGTTAGCAGATACCGCAGACACATGGCTGCAGTTATTAGAGTGAAAGGACTTCCCAGACCGAGAAGGAAGCAAAGCATCTATGCAGAAACATTCATGGGAACGTTTCAACCAGCGCTGTTTGTGTCTATGTTTATGTTTCCCCTTGTTTCTTCTTGTTCTTCCTCCAGTGTCAAGTTCTTCAAAGGGTCCATTGTAACAACAGCGTCCTTAGCATGAACCCCCCCTGTCCAAAGTCTGAAGCCTCACAGTCAGTCCCCATAGCAACCAGAGGTGCTGTGACTTCCGTCACAGTATTGCCTAGTGCTATTAAGTCCCCATGGGGCAAGATTTCATGTTTATTGCTACCTCAGACAGGCCCATGCGGGATGAGAAGTCACCTACGTCTGTTTACCTTTCAGCTCAGAGAGCCCCATTTGTGTTTGCTGGAGGGCTGAGGCAGCGTGATGTGAAATGAACCAGGCAGCACATGGGAATTAGACCGGGGTTATTCAATGTAGGACAGAAGGAGCAAAGGTTCAAGGTAGGCTACCATCTTTCCAAATGATGTAGTCCAGGACTGGGTGTGGCCGATTATTGAAGACCTACTGGGTGACTACTCTTCTAAACCTCTGAGAAGTGCTTGGTGAGGATGACATTGAATTGTTCTCTTTACACCTGTTTCCAGTCCCCCAGTTCTAACTACCCAAACCTCACAGGAGGGAGAGCATGTGTAAGGGCCACGGGCTAAATGTCACCAAACTCTTTCTCTTTCAGTTTCCAATCTTGTAGCTTAAAAGCAAATTTGGTAACAAGAAGGGTTACTGCTACAGCCCAATAAAAGTAATTTGCTCTGTGGAAATATCCTTCATATCTTGATGTCAAAACTAATAAACACCATGCAAATAGGTCGTAGGTAAACTGAATATTAAATTATGTAAATAAGAGGCTCATGCCACCATTCTCTTTAACCCTTAACTGGCTGTAGCATCTTTACCACAAAACACAATCCTCACCCTCTCAAGGGAACCAGAACCTGAGCTGCACCGGGCGCAGGGATACGCACCGAGTAATACACATCCGTCATCTGGAGGAGGTTTTTGGTGCTTCCATTCTCATGCATCTCGATAGCTTCTCGGCCCCAGTCTTGTGAGCGAGGGTTCTTGGGGTACTCAGCATAGGGGGACATTTGAAAATCTCCACTTTTGAAGATGAGTTTGCTTATGTCATTTTTACTCTTTCTGTGGAATGAAAAATATTTGAGAATTTAATGAATACATTCTTTATAGAAATGGTATCTGTGAAAGCATGTTCTATTATTTTAGAAGGTAAAGTAGACTGAAAGCTACCATTATATTCTTCTGTAGATGCCCATGAAAAATGGTATTATTATTATTTTTACTGTTTGCCTAAAACAGGTAAAAATGCAGTTAGATGCAAAAAAAAAATGCAAAACAAAACAAAAAAAATCTTCCCACCTGAAGGGACAGGTTACCAGGGACAGAGAGGACGAACACAGCTGCAATGAAGCAGTGAAGCAGACAGTCTCTTCTGGGGACAGAGGTTGTTGCATCACAGGGGAGCCAGGGAAATCAGAGTCTTAAATTCCCAGAATGCTGGAGCCAAAGGGCCTTTAGGATTCTTCAGTCCAGTGCTTCCAAACCTGCCTGAGCACCAGAATGCACATGGAAGCTTCTAGATCACACCAAGATTTATTAAAAGGAGGAGCTCTGGGGATGAGACAGCTCTGGCTTTGCGAAAAGATAAGACTTGTTCCTCAGGTCATGTTTTGCTACTGGCAAAGCTGGGACTACAGTTCAGGCCTTCTGCTTCACCAGCAAATGCCCTTTTACCACATGAAGTTACTTCACAGACCATAAAAATGGGATGTTTCATCTGCCAAAAATGCCCACCTGTTTATATTACCCACACATATCCTCCTTTCAGCAGGTTAGGGAAAGCCCAGGGTAAGTTCCCTACTTGTGGGGTTCACTGGGTAGAAACGGTTGAAATACGTGTGATTCGGGGCGCCTGGGTGGCCCAGTAGGGTAAGCGTCAGACTCTTGGTTTTGGCTCAGGTCATGCTGTCACAGTTCATGGGATCAAGCCCCGCGTCAGGCTCTGTGCTGGCAGCACGGGACCTGCTTGGGATTCTCTCTCCCTCTCTCTCTCTGCCCCTCCCCTGCTCTCTCTCTCTCAAAAAAAAAAAAAAAAATTAAAAAAAAAAGAAGAAAAAACTATGTGTGATTCACATATCAAATGGTCTTAGGATCAGACTTTTTTGTTTACATTGGTCCTGGGTAAGATATTCTGAAGTTTCTTCCTGGTTACCTCACTTTCCTATAAATAAATTTTCTCAGAAGGCACGAAATGACTCAGGGTCATAAAACCAAATGTCCAGCATGTGGCTTAGGCGTTGTCCCTTCTCACACGTTCAGAACAGACCTGCCACTGTGTTGCTCCCTGGAGGGCAGGGCATCCGGTTTCAAACAATGACTGACTAATTCACAGTCACCTTCCCTTTGTCGCCCATGGTCTCAGCCTCCTTCTCTAGCAAATATGAGACTTAGCAAATATGGACTCTTAGCAAATATAAGACTTCTGTCCTCTTAACGTTTAATTTCTCTAGCTTCTAGTCTCATACCCAGGATTTTATTTCCATTCATACAGTTTGTTTTTGATGATTTGGTGGTAACTTTGTAAATGACAGGCAAAGGACCGTGTTCCTGGATGGGCAGTTAGGGCAAATGGCTCTCTGCAGCCTTCCTAGAAGGTGAAGGATATCTTAAAATGTCCTCCATGTCAATGGTTGAAAAGATAACTTGCTATTTTGGTAAGTGCCATCCATCTTCTACGTCAGAGAAATTCCTGCCATTTATAATCATCTAAATCAAAGGTCATAATTTTCCCTTATCTGACTAGATAATCACCGAGAATCCAACTCCTTCCTTTCTCTTCCTTTTCCAGTAGAAACTCAGTCACGCTGGCTTCCGGGAGGCCCAGAGCCAGGTCTAGTGCTGAGCCCTGCTCACCCCATGTGCCTGCTACAAACTGTTTACTGCTAAATTATCTCAGGTGACCCCGTTCATCGTTGTTTCTAAATGTCCCCAAAGTGTACGCGCCGGTGGTCGTAGTATATTCGGACTTGTGCAAACTTCATTACAATTTTACAATACTTTCATCACCCCAAAAAGAAACCCCTTACTCCTTAGCCGTTCCTCCCCACTCCCCCTCCACCCCAGACCCAGACAACCACTAATCTACTTTCTATCTCTATTAGATTTGCCGATTTTGAACATTTCATATAAATGGAATCATACAGTAGGCGGTCTTTTGTGACTGACTTCTTTCACTTAATATTTTCAAAGTTCACAAATCTTATAGCTTGTGTCTATACCACGCTCCATGTTATGGTTGAATAATATTCCATCATGTGGATATATCCCATCTTGTCTATCTATACATCAGATGGTAGATATTGGGGTTATTTTCACCTTTTGGCTCTGACGAATAATGCTGCTATGAACACTCATGTACATGGTTCTGTGTAGACACACATATTCAGTTCTCTGGGTAGATACCTCAGAGTGGAGGGGCTGGGTTAAATGGCAACAGTGTGGTTAACTTTCTGAGGAACTGCCAGGCTTTTTCAAAGAGGCTACACCATTGTATGTTTCCACCAGCAGAATGTGAGCATTCTAACCTCTCCACATCCTCACCAATATTTGGTACTTTCTTTTTTTTAATAGCCCTCTTAGTGGGTGCAAAGTGGTATCTAATGGCAATTTTGTTTGCATTTCCCCAAGGCTAATGATACTGAGCATTCTTTCATGTGCCTCCCGGCCATATGCTTATCTCCTTTGGCAATGTCTGTTCAAGTTGTTTGCCCATTTCTAAATTAGGTTGCGTTTTCATTACTGAGTTGTAAGAATTCTTTATCTATTCTAGATACATGTCCCTTATTAGACATATGACTTTCAAACACTTTCTCCTGTTCAGTGGGTTGTGTTTTCATTTTCCTGATAGTGTTCTTTGAAGCACAGAAGTTTTTAATTTTGATGAAGTCCAATCTATCACTTTTTTGTTGCTTGTGCTTTTGTGTATTCCTTTTTTAGTAAAGGAAATAAAGTACCTACCATTTGCTGTCCTTTTCTTCGCTCCCTGGCACTACCTCTCATGAATTTCCCTTTCTCCTTTTTTTCATGATTCAGTCATATGATTTAATACTGTGAACCACCCCTAATGTTCTTTAAAAGAGTAAAAACTGACCTGTGCTTAGCAGAGGCAAGAGAGGCAAGAGAATTAGAATGTGAACCCCCATCACTCACCGGCAGCAGGTAACAATCAGCGCAATGCCTAGAATAAGGAGAAGCCCGCCTCCTGCTGCTGCAATCACCACGGTGATCAGCTGATAGGCTACACAGGTTGAAAAAGGACAAAAATGGACAGGTAAGAGGTAATAAATAAATAAATGAATACAAAGGAGTTGTTCCTTCCCCAGCCCATAGCTATCCCCAGGCCTTAGATGGAGACCTTGCCTTTCATTCTTAGGCCCCTAGTAAGGGCTCCTCATGGCTAGCTCCTCATTTTCTCTGTAGGAGAACAGCCCAGTATACTACCCCAAATAATCCTCGTTGAGCTGATGATTTGTGAGAAACTGCAACACAGGGGTAGCTCTGAAAAGAGCACGAGTAACCAACCCTTGGGTCACCTGGGTGGTTCAGTCAGTTAAGGGTCTGACAGCTCAGAGCCTGGGGCCGGCTTCAGATTCTGTCTCCCTCTCCCTTTATCCCTTCCCAGCTCATTCTCTCTCTCTCTCTCTCTCCCTCTCTCTCTCTCTCTCTCTCTCTCTCTCTCTCTCNTCTCTCTCTCTCTCTCTCCCTCCCTCTCTCCCTCTCCCTCTCTCTCTTCCCCTCTCTCTCTCAAAAATAATAAACATTAAAAACAAAAAGGAAAAAAAAGGGCAGTAACCCTTTTGTAAGGGAGATTTACATTAGAAAAGGGGCCTCTACTGGGAAGACTACTGTGACCAAGGATCACTTTTTCAACAGACAGAACTGGTCTTCCCAGCCAGGCAGGTTTTGTTTACCAAACATTTCTTCCTCTCACCATCACTGGCTTGCCTCCCCTGCCAGTGCGGCCCTGCTGCCTAGCCCTTTCCTTAGCTCAGAAGGGTATAAAAGCATCAAATATCTGGCTACCTTTGCACCTCCTATCTTTGTGGGGCTCCTATGTGCGTTACACAATTGAAATTGTTTTATTTTTCTCCTGTTAATCTTTTATTGAGGGGAGGGAGGGAGGGTTCTAGAACGATAGAGGGAAAATTATTTTTCTTCCCCTGCCTACACTGGTTTGAGAAGACTTCTCCTTTCTCAGCCACTCCTAGAACGGTGCATGGATCCCAAATTCTACCTGTAGACCAGCCCCGATGTCACTTTCACTAAAAGAAAACTAAAGGAGATGCAAAAACTAAATTTGTTGGTTTTAATAACTGTTGTAGCATCTAAGATTTTATCCTTCCTACTTTTTTTTCTCCCTTAAGATGGGTACATTTTCTTATGTGTAAATTATGCCTCCAGTAAAATTCTTTTTAAAAACATGAGTGGAGAAAATAGAAACATTTCTTGGCTACTTCTCACCCTTTGGTATAAATTGTTTTTAATTTTTTTGAATTGATGATGATATAGTAGATATAAAAAGTCCTTATTTGGTTTTAGGTTCTTACTTGTTAAGGTAAAAAGTAAGCAACCCTATATTGTAAGGAATATTACTGGTCAAGTAAGTGTAGAGTTTGGGAATCACTGCAAGAACCATGCTAGGCACCGAGTTGTTCCCTGAATACGTACAAACTGGATTAAACCACCAGATACTGGCAGTCATAGATGTAAGCACACACATAACTCATGTAATACACAATATTAACATTTTAATTACTTGGTTTTATACCTACATATTTCTGGCAAAATTATATTTTCAACAAAGTATTCAGGAGCACCTGGGTGGCTCAGTCAGTTAAGTACCTGACTTCAGGTCAGGTTCAGGATCACATGGTTTGTGGGTTTGAGCCCCATGTCAGGCTCTGTGCTGACAGCTCAGAGCCTGGAGCCTGCTTCAGATTCTGTGTCTCCCTCTCTCTATGCCCTACCCCAGCTAGTGCTCTATCTCTATCTCTCTCATAAAAATAAATAAACACTAAAAAAAAAAAAAAGTCCATTCAGTATTCAGATTGATTTGTTGTTGTTGTTGTTGTGGAAATATAATTAAAATTATGTTCTCAGGTTGTAAGGTGTAGGATTTTTAAAAAGGGCCAATAACCAGATTTTCGGTAGTAAATTAAGACTGGAACCGTGGTCTCTTAGGTATTCAGGTAAGGTCGAAGTAACATGCATGAGGAGCTGACAGCAAGCAGACTGTGTGATAAAAGCAAATAGAAGCTATCCAATTACATACCTATCATTTATTTAAATAAATAGCACAGAAACCTGATTATCTTGAAAAACCATCAGTATTAAGACCTACAGAAGGCAAAGGCAAACCATGGAATGAGGTAATTCTCTCCCACACCTCCTGACATATGTATTCAAGTTTCACTTTCAACAAAATCTCTTGAATCTGTTGACTTTTCTTTGTCCCCACCAACACCACCCTAAACTGCTATCAACTCTTGACCAGGAAAGGTCAATCACCTCCCAACACCTCTTCCCATGCCCAGTCTTGCTCACTCATTTAAAAGAACAAGTCTGATCAAGCCATTTCTCTGTTTTAAAATCCTACAATGGCCTCCTTTGTTCCTAATGAAAGGCCGAAGTCTACTCTTGCTTAACCCTCCACACCAAGTTCAAATTTTCCCACTTCCAACAAAAACAAGCAGGCACTCATTTTAGAAGCCACTCTTGCAACTGGCTTCAGTTGTGGCAGAATCCCCCTTAGAACAAAAGTTGCCTAATATAAACACAGATGGGGGTGTTGGGGGTGGCTTAGTGGGTTAAGCATCCAACTCTTGATTTAGGCTCAGGTCATGATCTCACGGTGAGATTGAGCTCTGTGCTGACAGTGTGAAACCTGCTTGGCATTCTCTCTCTCTTCCTCTCTCTCTGGCCCTCTCCTGCTCACTCTCTCTATCTCTCTCTGTCATAATAAAGAAATAAACAGGGAGGAAGGAAGGAAGGAAGAAGGAAGGAAGGAAGGAAGAAAGGAAGGAAAAGGAAGGAAGGAAGGAAGGAAGGAAGGAAGAAGGAAAGAAAGAAAGAAAGGCAAGTATTAATGGCCACAAGGAAATCCACCAAAACACTCATAGAAGTTGGCACTGCCTTGGGAAATCATGACTAACTTCTATTTTCTTCTTTGTGCTTTTCTATGCCTCCCAAATGTCATTCGTATACACACACACACACACCCTCCTCTCCATCTAGAAATTTTGGGTATATACATAAACATATATATAATTTATCTTATACATACATATACAATTTTTTAGAGTATGCTCGATGCTCTTTGGCAGTCAGGTCTTATTACTGGGAACTTGTAATGGGTTTCTGGACAAGATAACCCACAAGTTTTTTCCTCATAACTGCTATCAGGTCAGTTCATGGACTAAACCTAATCTTTTGAACTTAAGACTAACCTTGGATTTATTATGAGGCCACATAATGATGTATAAGAACATGGGATTTGAATAAACAACTATAACGTTTACAGTTTTGTGGGGGTTCTGTTTATTTATTGGGGTGAGACAGAAGGCAATGAGTGCCATCTTAGGCTTGTCCATCCTATCTTTTCTAATATGAAGAGGTTCTCCAGAATAATGAACTTGGAATTCTTAGTCCTACTTTCCCCTTGACATTTGTTGTTATTTCACAGCCTATCTTTTCCTTATTCTTTTCATAGTTCGATCATAGTTTGCTGCTGCTGTCATTGTTGGGAGCCATTGTGGACCTGGTCTTTCCTATAAGCTACATTTGCCCTTGTTTCTATGCTCATCTGGATGAAAACTACTACTGGATTGTCTGTTTAGGCAGCCCTTCTCTGGGAACGTTCATGCCCCTCATGTGCAGGTTACAGCGGGGGTGGTTAGAGAGGGTCATGCCTGTATGTGTACCACCATCCCTGGCTACAGTCAACTGGTCCAGGAGTAAACACATGATCCAAACTGCATCAGTCAGTTCCTTCCCAGGAATTGCAATTTGGTGAAGAGAGAGAGAAAGTTGGAGAGGGCACACACGCCTTCTCTTTCAAAATGGCTGAATGGGTGACACATACTTAAACCTGCCTGCTGAGTCTATTCCCAGTCACATTGTCTGGGAAGGAGGGAAAGCCTGCACACAGACACACACAACAAAGAGCAAAGGTGAGAGATGGAGATGGAGTTATGCTAATGTGTACTCTGAAAAGCAGGCCCCTAACCTCCAGCTACTGTGGTTCTCCCTGATTCTTACTCCTTCTGACCCTGGAATTCCGTGATAGACCCCAGGATCCTTCCAATAAAATGTCTTTTGTTGCTTAAGCTAGTGAGGCTTATTTACTCCAGAAGAACCTTAGCCAATGGTGATACTGTGATTTACAATGAGAAATATATATTTGGTCTTACCCCCTTCCTGGCACAGAGTTCTTTTTTTTTTTTTTTTTTTTTTAATGTTTTATTTATTTCTAGGAGAGAGAGAGAGAGAGAGACAGCGTGAGCAGGGGAGGGTCAGAGAGAGAGGGGGTGACAGACTCTGAAACAGGCTCCAGGCTCTGAGCTGGCAGTCAGCACAGAGCCCGACGCGGGGCTCGAACCCACGAACCGCGAGATCATGACCTAAGCGAAAGTCAGACCCTTAACCAACTAAGCCACCCAGGCGCCCCTGGCACAGAGTTCTTAAAACCCTTGCAATTTCCTAAGAGAACAGAGAGGTGTCTTTTGTTATGCTAATGAGGTGACTTTTGGAAAGCATCTGGGGATGGGGGGCTGGTTGCCTGGAGAATCAACCATGTGATTAGAGGGCTGGAACTTTCGCCATCCCCTGACCTCTGGGAAGGTTGAATTCATCAGTGGCCATCCCCTGACCTCTGGGAAGGTTGAATTCATCAGTGGCCAAGGACTTAGTCAATCATGCCAATGTAGTAAAGCCTCCATAACATCCCAAAAAGACAGAGTTCACAGTTTCTGGGCAAATGAACATGCAGAGAGTTGGCAAGAGTGGCTCCCCGGAAGAGCACATGGAAACCCCTCAACCTTGCCCTGGGCCTTGCTCTATATGCCTCTTCCATCTGGCTGTTCATGTGTTACATCTTTTTATAACAAACCAGTGATCTAGTGAGTAAACTATTTGAGTTCTGTTTATTAGCAAATTAATCCACCCCAAGGAGGGTCTTGTGTGAACCACTGATCCACAGCTGGTTGGTCAGAAGTGTAGGTGACAGGCACCTGGACTTGC